AGGAAATGATAATATGATTAGGAAGAAGTAAGTCATTAGAGAGGTATATATGAGTTTCACTATTATTAATATTAACATAGAATGTAATGCTAGTAACAGTTTGGTTGAAGTTATACTTGTCAATATGTTGTATAAGGGTTTAAATAGTTTGGTTACAAGAAAGAAGAAGAATATTGTAATAAGAAAGAAATTTGTTGTAACATATTTCAAAATTATATGGGGCTAAAGATGTTAAAAATGATCTTGTAGAGTTGTCTTCTACAAGGTCGATCACCGTATGCTCAGCTCTCACAGCTGTGCAAGGTACTATAGTCTGTCTTGTGCATTGGGTCTGACTGTCATTATCCTAGCCTTCCACGTAAAAAAATTAATTTATAAACTATATAAAAATACTAAAAAAAATATAAAATATAATATAGAATTATAATAAAAAATAAATATATAATAATATAAAAAAAGTAAATTTTATTACAATATTTTATTTAAATAAATACTTTTACTTAAGAGTTCAAGATTGATTAGTATAGTAAAATATTTGTAAATTAAGTTTTTTCTTAATTGATTAAAATTTTAAATTTTTTTAATACTTAAATTAAATTCAAATATTTAATTCAAATATTTGATTATATTAAATCAAATCAAGAATTTATTTGATTTGATTAAATTCAAATTAATATAATATTTAATTTGATTTAAATTTAAGAAACTCTATTAATAACTAATTTTATATAAAACTTTAGTGCAAACTCATGATAAGACCACCAAGCATAGAAGACTAAAGAAATAAAAAATTGAAACCTACTTAAAAATTTTTAAGTAAAGAAATAGTATGAATTTTTAACAATACTATTAAACTGATAAAAACCTATAAATATCTTCAAAAGTATTAATAAAACAAACTAAATAACATAGATATATAAAGAAATATATAATTAACTAAGTTACTAAATTTTACTAAAGAAAAAATACAGAAGTATACTATATTGAGTTATCTAAATTGATAATTTAAAGAATTAAAACAACTCAAGAAAGACTTAGTAGAAAAAGATAAAAAAGATATCAAAAGATGGATATCAGAATTTTAGTGAACTTTATAAAAATAAAAATAATGTAATATAATAGTTAAACAGATAAACTCTATAATTGTAAGTTTTAGATAACTTTATTATATTGCATAAAACTGCATTTTGTAATACAAAATAAATTACATATACAGAAGGTTTAATAAGTAAGACATCTAGTTAGCTTACAGATATAGTACTGAATATAAAACTTATTTAGTAATATATAAGTAGACTACTTAAATTAGATATTAAAAGTATATATATAGTTAGTTATAACCTTCTATATAAAGAAATCTTTAAAGGCATCTATATTCTATAAACTTAAATAAAAATATTTCTTTAAAAGCAGAAACTTTAACTTAAAAAAATAATAATAATAATTAAAAAATATTTTTTATTAATTTTTTATCTAGTAATATATTAAGTTGCTAATATTCATTTTGGTTCTAATTAATAAAAAAAAGTAGTTTTATTTGTATTGTAATTTATTAAGTGAATAATTTTAAATTTAACTTATAAGTCGATAGTGTAGCAATTAGTATTTCCAAGTTTTAATTACAAAATTATAAGTTTAAGTTTAAAAGATAACAACAACTTTGTTAGAACTATAATTAAAAAGATCTGCAAAAGACTTCTATTTAAAAATAAAAACAAGATTTATACAAAAAAAATGCAATTATTAACATAGCTATAAGATTAAAAACAGCCAAATAAAATGTAATTTGTTACAAATAATGGTAATATTAAAAAAGTCTAATTTAAAAACATAAAATATACGAATAATCTGACTAGTAAATTATATGAAGTTGGAAACTACAAAACAAAAAAAATAGTAGGTTTTATATTATAAAACTAGAAACTCAAAATATTATATAATTGACTTAATAAAATATAAATTATCTTACAAGTTTGATGACATATAGGACTACATGCTGTCTAATAATCTTTACAAAATAATAACTCTAATCTTTAAGAAATGTGACAGATTCTAAAAATGTTTAAGAACCTTCAAAATAGTAAAAAAAAGTAAAAATAAAAAAAACTTGAACTTTAATAATAGCAAAAAATTAATAATAGCATTATTATTTGCTAATGCAGCTTTATTTTAAAGTTTTAATTAGCAAATATTATTTTTTTCTTTAAATTTTTGCAATTAGCTATGTGAAAATTGTAATGTTACTAGAACTTTCAATCTTTTAACAAGAATTTTAGCTTTTTTAATTAGCATAAAATTACTTAAAATTGTTTGTGTTAATAGATTAGTACAAATTTTTAAATGCAATCTCAACTTCTAAAACAGTAACAAATTTGCGTCATTTGGCATTAAAATTAAAAACCTTAGTAAATAGTAATCATTTGTTACTAGTTTTTAAATTTTATAAAATAATACTTTTATTAACTATAATGCCCTATTGTTCTTCAATTCAGTCAATATATTTGGCTTATATCATTTTATTTTCTTGAGTATAAGCACAAAGTACAACTTTTTAGATATTAGTTAATATTATTTGTTTTTTTTTTTTTAAACATGTTATATAAATAAATAAGTTAATATTTATCTTTAAAATTACATTTTAACAATTTTTTATTTTATAGTTTTGTAGTTATATTAGTACAATTTTATAAGAAAATAGGTTCAAATATCAATTATTAATAGTAAACTTAGCAGTATATTTGTTACAAAATAGGAATTTGAAACAATTTTATTATATTTTGAATTTGGATAAAAATTAAGATTTTTAGTTTTGCCAGCATGTATAGTTGTAGCTCTAATAAACTAACTTTTTTTTTTTGTGTTTCAAGTTCACTTCTATAGTTGTTCCAATCTTTTTTGTTGCTTTGTTATAAAGCAGTATTGTTCTTTGACTCTTCTTCATATGTGATATGGTATGTAAATCAGGAATAGTATTTTTGCGGCTAATCTACCTCCAAATTGATACAGAATTTTATCAGCCAATGAAATCGAACTTCTATTATCGATATCGAAATTAGATCTTTTACCTTTCATTGAATGTTTCATCTTTTTCTTATTTTGACGAAATGTTTCGTCTTACTTCACCGGGTTTGACCTCGTTTTTCGTTGTCAGGCAAAAATGTTTTCGTATAATTGCACCAATTGCCTCTTCGAAAAGCTCGTTTGCAGCTAAGTTGAGAGGTGATTCATTATCGCAGAAGACAAAGAAATGGGAAAAGATACCAGAAGGGTTGCGAACAAGTATTCCTCCAGGTTGGTCGCATGCACGTAGTAAAAAAATTATCTTGAGCAATTGCTTAAAGGTTTAATTTAGCCTTTTCAACTTGAATCAACGTATTTGTTTTAGTGACTAGGGGAAAAAGCACCAATCTTATTGAGATCAAAAACCTACCGTGTACAGTAATCCCTCGAGATATCAAAATGTTAGCGGGTGATACCTCCAAGAACACGAGTTCTATCAACGAAAGTATGTTACAAGTCCTTTTTTTTTTTTTATTTCTTCATAATTGACGAATTAATATTAAATTTTCTCCTTCACAACATTGTAGTTACCTTTCTTCGTAACAATCACTTTCAGTTTACAGGTTCGGTTATGGTGCGTTTTAATACCGAAAAAGATGCAGAGCGATTCATGGCAAAGAATTCCATGACATCTTTTTGTGGGCATAAATTGGACATTGTTACACATGTAAATATATCGAATGTTAAATAACGTTCATAACTATTATATTTTTACAGTGATAAATCATAATTTACACAAATTATGTTTAGTCCAAAACTTATGTGCTTCCACGGAAGTTACCACAGCACCCACGCAGGGAACCGGGAAATTGTATCATAGTGACCGGTTTTCCGGTTAATATTGCAGTTGAGAGTATAAAAGAAACCCTTGTATCAGATTATCCTGGCATCTCAAATACACTCTGCGAAAAATTTATACCATTACCGATGTATGCAATTAATTTATTTCAAAGGTTATAAATCTATTAATAGAAAAAATTTAGTAAAATTTTTATTTTTTTTATTAGCTCTGGGATTGCACCAATGTCATCAAAATGGTTACTTGTATTTAAATCAAAACAAGAAGCATACCAAATGGTAAGAAAATTGCATAATACTTATTTCAGAGGAGATCTAAACGGCAAGAAATATCAATTAAAAGCTAGAGTCGCTTATTGATTAAGATGAGATAATTAAATTAGTAATTTTTTTAAAGTTATATTTACTAAAATCAACAATGCAAACATTCCGGATTAATAATTAACCATTGGAGCTTCTACGTATTTTAATCCGGGTTAAAGTCATCAAAACTATTATCAATACTATTAATTTTAGTTAATCCCAGTGAAAGTTTATTGCCTAATGAAATACGTATATTGTCACATATATCAATCCATCGTCTGTCCAGAAAATGGAAACCATAAAGGACCAAATATTAAATAGAAATAGTTTAAATCCAATAAATAAGAAGTAAATTATTAAATATATGTATATATATAATATATATCTTATTAATTTAGAGAACTGCAATTTTATAACTTTTATTAAAATCGATTTAGAATCGATAATCAAAATTTAAACATATATATTTTATGATTTGTTACTTATTCTCCTAGGGATTAGAAACATCTTAAAAATTTTCCAATAGTTAAATTGTTTAACCTTTTTAATTAATTACTTAATTTAGCAGTATTAATTTAATTCTGACCCATGACCAGCGTAATTCGGCCCGGAATTGGGAAACAATTTTTAAGTAGTACCTAATAATATTAAAATAAAGATTGCATAGTTCTATTAAGTGCTACGTATAGTTATCATAATTTAATTTAGCTTCATTTTAATATATAAACAGAAATAATTAACATTTTCATACCCCGAAAGAAAAAAATAATTATTAAAAAATTCGTATATTAAAATATAAGGTGAAGTGGGGTATTATGACGCAGGTGGGTAATATGACGCACTTGTAGTTTTTGATGATATACTGCGATACACCGATCAGAATCAAACAATTTTAGCACCATTCGATTCGTCTTACCGAGACGAATCGAATGGTGTTAACTTCGCTTTATTTGAAGCATAAGAAAACAAGATATTAATATTTTAGTTACCAGGCCCAAAAATTTAATCTGATGTAGATCTGATGCGATTAATTTAGTTAGTACAGTACAATAATTATCATTATGTAATGGCAATTTAATTAATTTTTTAACAAAAATCTGACATCAAGATTAAGATTAATTTTATACAAATTGTTCCCATGTGAATCATGACAATCTTGATAAAACTTTTAAAAATTAGAATTATATTCAATTTTAAAAAACAACTTAGTAAATTTACATATTTTCAATCATTTCATAACAAATCAATACTTATTTATTTCATCAAAACCACTATTACTTGCAGTTTTACTAAATTCTCTATTTATTGAAAACATATAATTCATCTTCATTATAATAAATAGCATTATCAAAACAAATAATAAAATCTTTGATTCGATTGTATTAACTAAAGTGAATATAATGATCATTAATTAATTTAATGATTGTATCTATAATGATAAGATCTAAAAAATATTGTATAGTATTTTTTAACTGCTTATAAAAAAACAAAAGCATATAATGCATATGTTTTTTAAACTTAATCATGTTATATGTGTTTTGTATTAACTTATTGTAAAGGTTTAAGATTAGATTATTTGTTTCTTTATCTTGTAAATTGAAATAATATAACATATTACAAATTTTTAATATTTTGAAAAGAGTTTTTAATTAAAATTTATTTGATTTATATTAAAGAATATAGTTAATTAAAGTTTATTTGATTAGAAATATAGTAATTTAGTAAGGTAAATTAGTTGTCAACTATTCAAATAGTAAGTTGTAAGTTCAAAACCTATCAATAATAAAAATTTGGATAATCATTTATACAGAAGACTGCTATAATATTGTGGATACTTTTTGGATTATAATTATTCAAAAATAGGTAAGTAAATACAATATAAATTTATATCACATGTTTGACTGATCTCATGATACAACATACTAAAATTTTATATAATTTTATTAAGTTGTACCAAAGTTATGAAAAAAGTGTAACAAACTACTATTTTGGATTAGACAAAAAATTGATTTTTGATTTTTTTTTTTAAAAAAAAAAAATCATAAAAAATCAAATTTTTGTTTAAATTACTTCAAATTTCATCTAAATGTTATGTAATACTTAGATAATGTTATGCAATATTTAAAAAACTATATTTGTATAACAGATTGGTATAAAAAAAAATAATAATAATCTTTAATTTTTTTTTATAGATAACAAAAAAGACTTGATGAAAAAGTAAAGAAGAACAATAATTTATAATTATCAGTAAGGAAATTCACTTTATACAATTATGACTGCTATGAGTTGTAACAAATCTGTTATAAGAAATGTAATAAAAGAATTTAGTAAATCAGGCACTGAAGCACAAAAAAAAAAAAAAAGACCTAAACATCCTAGTATCTTAAACTTTTCTGATTGTGAAAGTCTTAAAGATCTTGTCATCAGTAGTAATCATTACCTTAGTTTTATTCAAATCACCAATCTCTACAACTGTCAAACAAAAAAAAATCTCTAAAAGAACCATGTGTCATACTTTATACAATTTAAACTTGTTTTTATATGTTGCCTCTAAGAAGCCACTTATCTCAGTTAAAAATGTTCAAAAAAGATACAAATAGGCTTTTGCATATAAAGATTGATCTGTTAGGTAGTTCAAGCATATGTTGTGATCAGATGAATTCACAATTTATTTCTTTCTTGGTTTCTCTAACTGTGTTTGAAAAGAACCCAATAAAAAATAAAATAAAGAGTGTTTAAGTTGACCATAAAGCAAAATCTAAATTATATATGTTAGGACTATTTTTTTTGGTTTGAGGTAAAGCCTATTGTTCTGTTAAAATCTTCTGCTACAGAAGCCTCTTATGTTGAAATTCTTCAAAAATACATTCTCTTTACTATAAAAAAATTTTCAGAAAACAGTTGGTATAACTGCCTAATTCTGATTCAAAATAATGCAAAACTCTATATAAAAGCTAAAACAAAGAATTTTTTGAAAAACAATCAGATTTATATAATGAATTAACTCTTCCAAAGTCTGAACCTCAATCTGATTGAGAACTTGTAGGTTGTGTTAAAACAGTCTTTATATCATAAAAAAAGATTAAGTAACCTAAAAGAGCTAGACTTTCTTATTAAAAAAGTATAATATAAAATATTATCAGAACTTTACTGCTCACTAGTAATTAACATGTTCAATTAGGTTGCTAAATATATTGAAGCTAAAGGGGATTTCTTTAAATATTAATGTATAATTTGTTTTTTTTTGTTAAAAAAAAAACTTTAAATTTTGAGTTTTATGTTAAATAAGGAAAGTCAAGTTTGTGGTTTTTTTTGCGTTATTTTGGCACAACTTAATGAAATTATATAAAATTTTAGTATCTTGTACTGTAAGATTGGCTAAACATGTAATATAAATTTTATACTACATTTACTTATCTGTTCTTAAATAATTATGATTCAAAAAGTGTTTATAATATTATAACAATCTTCTGTATAATATACAGATATTATTATGATAATAGCATTCTGTCAATTAGTTGGAATAAAATATCTATAACTATAATTGCACCAATATGACTGGCAAGTTATAAGACATCTGTGTAATGTTGAAGTCATACAGAAAAATGCAAACCAGCATTAAATAATACAAATCTAAGATAAGTTCTTGTAATTATGTAAATTTATAGAACTAAGAAGCCAGAACCTACTTGAAAAGACCTAAATAGAAAAGTAGCACAGATCTTTAATATTACTACTATAAATACTAAATCTAGAAAATAGATATTGATTTAAAAAGAATCAGCTAAACAAGAACTTTAAGTGAAGAATAGCACTAACTAGACTACCAAAAGTCTCGAATTAGAAAAAAAGAATCTTGGAAGATGAAACCTCAAAATATTAAAGACAGGTTACAAATATTCTGAACTATCTAATTAAGAGTTTAAAAATAAAAACAATGTATATTATAAGTATTAGGAATATGTTATAAAGTTGGTACTAAAGTCTAAATGAACTTTGCAAGAGTAAATTTTGTTAACAAAAATTAAATATGAATAGTTAGTTAACAGAGAGGTCTTCTGAAGTTCTATAGTTAAGTAATATGCTTTGAAATACAAATAGAAAGATCAAAGTTAGGTTAAACAGTACTTCAGTATATAAGAACTTGTATGCTATTTGTTAGATATACTATAGAAGCTACCTTGTATAAGTTATATAATCATAATTAAATTACAATAAAGTCAGTAGTTGTCAATAACTAACAGTCTTAACAAAAGCAAAAAAAAATTTATTTAATTTATATTAAAGAATATTGTTTGTTTAAAATTACAAATTTAGTTAACAATCAATACAATTTATTAACCTTATAAGTTTAGTTAGATTTAACTTAAATTTTACAATTTTATTTGACTTTATTTATACTTTATTGTTTAAATATATAATCTTAATTATGCTTCAAAAATTATAATAATATAGAACAAAAACAATTATAATTATAACTGCAAACAATTGTGATCATAATCATGATTGTATACAATTATAATCATAATCATAATTGCAAACATTTGTAACTATGATCATAATTGCAAACAATTACAATTATGATCATAATTGCAAACAATCATTATATAAATAAGCTAAGTTGCTATAATTTTGTTCAAAAAAAAATAAAAAATAAATAAATAAAAAAATCTAATTTCAAAAAAAATAACAAAATGCAATATAAATTTTAATTCTTTAAAAATTAAAAAAGTTACTTGAGATATACATATAAAAACTATTAAGTTAGTTTTTAAAGTACTTACTAGTTCCAAACTATCTAATATACAAGCAGTTGTATTAAGTTTTGGTATTACAGAAGCAACTCTAAAGCATATAAAAAAAAAGATTATATAATAATCTTGAGTAATTATAAAGAAAAACAATTAGTAGATTATTGCAAAAACATACAAGTTTAGGATTTGATCTTACAAGATCAGAAATAAATATCTGCATAATAAGTATCATAAAGAGTAATGATCATAAATATTCTTTTAAAGATTATGTTTCTAACAAGACCTAGTAGACACATTTTATAA